TAAAGCTTTCAAAACTAAAATCATAACTTAAAAGGAATAGTTTAAATCAACATGTTCCCAAGCAAAGCTTCAGTTTTGACTATTTACTATTTCCTGATGGAAAAGCACTTCAACCAAAACACTTCCCTCTACTCAGACACAAATGTATTTTGTTACAGAAAACAGCAGTCTTGACATAATTAGTTGTTGGCTTACCATATGCAGTCTTAGCCTGCGCCCTGGATTCTAAAATAAATACAGGGCCTGAACAAGCTTGTATGAGAGACCAGCAAGCCAATCTCCGATACCAGAGGTGGTTGGGACTTGGCAGCAAATCACAAGCATGCCACATCTTGCTTAAATGACAAGGCAAAAGGAACAGCCCATACATATGTAACTTTAAAAAATTTTGGCAACTCTTACACATTTTTAGTAGAATAAGATATGGGGTCACTCCTCTCAGTGTTAGGTTTATGAAAACTATTCTCTAGCTTTTTCTATAGAGTTAAGGACTTTGAAAATCCTATGGAACTTCTTGTTAAAGGGTCTTCACTGAAAATACTCCTTTCATCGCCTCACAGATGCAGCTTAAATGCAGCTAGGATTAACTCCTGCCTGAGACTGTAAATGAAAAGGTATCCTGGTTATAGTTTTAAATCACAGAAACCTGTAAAGCAAACAGTAATGCATGAGAGGTACCAAAGTCCAGAGAAGTGCACGGTAGTGCTGTAAGCCAGGCCCTCTTCAGTTCCCATTATTCTTACCTTGCTACAGCAAAGAGGAAAAAAGCACTTGATGTCCTTTACAAGTGATGAGGTTTGAATAACTTCATTTCTGTGGTTTGGTTCCTTCACACCAAGTGGTGTTGTGTGAGTGCAGGATCTAGGATTTGTTCTTTGTTTCTTTATCTAAAACACCTAAAAAAGCAGCTCACGTAATGTTTTTTCACCTCTGTAGTTCTTTGTTATGCAAGCCAAAGAGTAAAGAACACAAAAATTTTAATTAGCAAACAACTCTCCACACAGACTTTGTTGGTACAACATAGTTATAAGTACATCTACAAACACATACAGGTTCTTTGGACTATGATTTTTTTAAAATATATTTTATATGACGATGTGAACAAATCTGGAAAAAACAAATTACTTCAACCTTATGTAGAGGTAGCTGAACAGTACTCTGTTCAGTGATATGAGAGTATAACTTAAGTTTCAAGTTCATTACAGTGCACAAAAGGATGTTTTACAAACAAATGGAATATACAAGTCCACAAAACTTTTTATTTTAAATGGCTTGATAGATATGTTTCTGGCACTCTTGTAACCACATAGCTTGATGGAATTAAATTGGACAAGCATATGGTGCCAAATTAAGACATCTTACACAGATAGTCTTTTACTCCTCATTTTTGTACTTCTCCTGTTCCTCACCAGGGAATTATAGAAGCTATTACATTGGTTTTGCTACACTTCTGCTCTGTAAACCTTTGTTCTGCGGTTGAATGTAAAGATTTAAAGGTGCATATGTTTATATTTATAAAATATATGGCTATGACTCTATTAAAAAGCTCAAAAATGGCAATAACAGAATACAGGCACTTCTATGTGAGGGTTACTTTAGACCTTATGAAACTCCAAGATTAGTAAGCACTTCACATGATACCTGGATGAGTAAGTCAATGTAATAGTTCAGGTTTTTTTATTATCCACCATTTTAATCCTGTCTAAGCAGATTAGTTTCTTGCACCCAGACAATATTTATTTAGCAAAGTATTTCAAAATAGTGACTTTGCTGAAACTACCGTTTTTCTGTAGCTGTAAGACTTTCACTGATTTACCGGGCTTTGGAATAAACCCCAGATGCTAAACTATGTGCTGCACCAGTTACAAGTTAGGTTGTGAAGCTGACATTAAATGAGAGCTAAGCAGGGGTTGAGTTAATCTGATGCAGGACTTGGTGGAAATGGGAAGCACCACCCTGAGTGCATATAGTTCCATTGGGTTTTTATGCACAAAAACCCTGTAGTTAATTTACACTTTTTTAAAATAAGAGTTTGTGAACATGTTCTCCATTCCTAAACACTGCATTTAAATATGACTCCCGTCTGTCATGAATTTAAACACCAGTAAAACTTCAGCACCAAGTAGAAATCATTAAAAGACCATCTAAAACAAAACTTAATTTTATAAAGCTCTTTCTACAGCACAGATTAAGCCAGACCTGCTACATCACAATCCACATGATCTTTTTTAGATTAAAATAATCTTTGGATTAAGAAATCCATGGTTCAGGTGTTCTGTAAGTAGTCATACAGGACAGAAGGATAGGCCAAGCAATAGGTCAGCCAGTCAGTATGACAGCTGGTATCTCTTACTGCTACAAGGTAATGGAAGATATCAGCACTTAAAATAAAATTAAACACACCAACATAAGAGGAACTTTTACAACTAACACCAGAATGTCACTTAAGACTTAGCATAATAATGGCCTATCACACCATTTTATCATTATTGAAACTACTAAACTATTTTCTACAACTGTGTCCGAGTTCACTGTCAGGTTTCATGATTTGTCCTGATTAATCCAGTCCTGTCTCAGGTTTACTTTCAACCAAGTCATGCTAGCCAAGATAACAGCTATTTTCATGGAAACATATCCCCTTAAGTTACTGCTAGACAAAGGAGCATATAGGACCTAGCAAAGTTGTTTCGAGTGTCATAAGTCTGTCTATATATGGAAATGAAAAATTAGTATTACTTCCTGCAGAAAACTTCTGTTTTTAATTACAAACCATATAATGTATATGTACAGAGATTTGGGAGGGTGATACAGCCAGTCTTTGTTATTTATTTTAATGTATTTTGTTAAATACTTCATTTACAGAAAAGTGAAGAGATTTCAAATTAACAAAACCATCTCTTAAAAATGCAAGTCTAAAACTTTCAAGAAGTCTCTGGGAGATGTTTAGGTGATATTGCCCAGGAGACTGGCACTTACTCAGTTACGGTTCGATCTACTCTTGGTTCCCTCTCCACCTCCATTACAGAAGACTTGCTTTTTGTATTCCCCCTCCCCCCCCTTTATTTTTTTAAAGGGGGACTGATCACATTTCCTTGGAAATAAAAAAAAAGTCTATTGATTTTAGTAATCCTAACTCAGTGATCTAGGGTCAATGGCAATTGACTTCTTTGAAGAACTCGCAAGAAGCCTATGCATTACTTCTGCCCTCACAACCGATTAATCAATACTTCTGGCCACACAGGAAATGCAAGTTTGAGTCATGATTTTTTTTTTTAAACAGATGAGCAAGACCGGTTATGGGACTGAGAAAAATGTGTCTATGTGTCTAGAAAAACATGAGAAGCTTAAATAAAATACTCCTCCAATTAGTATTTTATCTGATCAATACCATTTCTGTAAATTAAAGTGAAGGTATTTTTAAATCTGTTCAGCTGTTTATTCATGCCTGTAATAAATGTTGCATTTACATCCTTGTACTGATTAATACAACTGAAAAAAAAAATCAGCAATACTGTGGCATAACTAGAAGATTTTTTTGAATTTTAAACCTCATCACTGAAACTTTACCATCTCAACTCACTGAAGGCTAAGGCTACTCCTTGTCCAGCTTTTCCTGGACAGGTTTGTGTTCTCTAGCAAATCTGTTTCTCTTTTTTTTTCTTCCGATGGAATTTGCAGACTTTAGCCATTAATCTAGGATGTGTGGCCATAGAGCAGTCCCAGACAGAATGCTACTGTACATGTACAGATGAACTTTCTTGATGTGTTCAATTTGTTGTGCATATGCAGATCAACTGTATGCAGCACATGCAGTAGGTCCAGTGTTTCCAGGTTGCAACAAATGCACCGGGCGTTCATGATATAGGGCATGTACACTAGCTTCTGCTTAGGAAATTCTGGCAGCTTTACTCAAAGCCAATAGAAAAGACAAGATTCACTTTTAAAATCAAGGATTCCTTCCATGCCAATTTCTAAATCAACAAAATAGGCAGAATATGAGTATGTAGAAGACATAGCATGCAGGAAAAAAGAACAATGACATCAGTGAGAAAACAGTTTAAGATAGGTATGTAAGGTCCTTTTCTCACAGATAAGAGTAACAAAGTGACAGCTTTTTTCTATGGGAGCAGTATGGGCCCCTTATGTTATGCAATAATACATAATGGTTAAGGAAGAATTGCATTTAATGCAGCTTCACTTCCAAACAAGTAGAAATCACTTTGTCATTGACTTATGAAGACAAATGGCATAGCAGGTGTCAGCCACCATACACTTGTTATTGTTCAGAACATGTATGTATTTCTATACATTGTTTACAGAGAAGCATGTAAAGTACCACCTATGGAAGAAGTGCAGCAATCTAGCAGTATGGTAATAAACTGTGTTTGCATTGAGCTACTCTAGAAACACTACAGGATACATATTCCATTTGCATCACAAGGTTGAAACATGTTTGTCTTCCATTCATTTCTTTGGTACCCTTGTGGAAAAGTTCTATAGAATTTAACAAGAGGGGGAACAAAAGTAGTTTTATGGAAACTTAACAGTATGGAAATTACTTTTAACTAATAAATATTTCTGATGAGATGATGATGGAAACACACACGGAAAACTGACATTAAATTCTACTGCATTTTTCCATAAAGGCATGGAATGGCAAAGAGTGCTATCCTGGGTAAAAATAACAACAAAATTTGTAGCATTCCATAACATTCTCAGTTCAATCTATTTTTTGCCACTGAAAAGAAAAACAGTAGCTTAGAATAAAAGGCCCAGTTCTGCTCACATTGAAATCAGTGAAAGTCAAAGTCAGATAGAGGCAAGATCAGTACCAGAAAGTGGTACACCGAAAGCAATAAAAGCAGCAAAACAAGTATATGAACTGTTGATTTTAAAAAAAAATCAAACAAAGTCAGATAGGCAAGATCAGTACCAGAAAGTGGTACACCGAAAGCAATAAAAGCAGCAAAACAAGTATATGTGCTGTTGATTTAAAAAAAAAAAAAAAAAAATCAAACCCAAGATACTTCCTATTCCCATTTCTGCCCTATTTTTACCTGCTTTATAGCTAGAAGTAATCATGCTAAAATTCACTTGTCTTCCTTGGGAGTTAACTATTATTAGCAACACTACCCAATCTCTTAAGAGAAATGCAATGGCTGGGTAGAGATTTGAAGCTAGCAGAAACCTGAAGATTGGGGTGAAATAAATAGCATTTATTACAACATATTCCTTCTCATGTGACACAAACTGCCCTCTGAGTCCTACAGTTCAAAATAACTCCCCCCTCCCCCCCACATACACACACTCCAAAGCCAAACCCCACCAAACAATTGAAAGAAATAAAACTGATCTTAACAGCAACAAGAGTTGATGTAAAAAAAAAGTCTATGTAGTAACCTACAATGAAATGATACCAGTACTTCCAGTTTTCTTTAGGAGAAGCCACTTCTCATATATTGTGGCTCTTTCTTCGCAGTTGATTGTAGCCATTATCCATTCTTGCAAGAAAGAGTTCAGATATAAATTCAACTCCAAGTTATTCTCTGTTCTGTGAAAAATTAGGGGATAGATCCTTCTGTCACCACTATGGCCAATTCCCACCAACATCAATTGATCAATACTTGAATTTACCCAAGCACTTAAACCCTCATGCTTAAGGTTAAGCATGTGCTTGACTGTTTTGTGATAGCAGGAACCTAGTTGCAAGCATAGGATCAAGCTCCAACAACTGTGCTTGAATTATCTCAGACATAATCTGTGTATTCAAAGATTTCACAGCAGGCTGTTTCAGGGGGAGAAAATCCTTCTTAGGCTACAGTAGAACTGGGGATAAGTAGAAAAACATTCAAAGTATTTGAACACAAATATCTGAAAAATTATCAAAGCAGTTGCTTGTGCACTGCTAGAATCATCATTTTGCCCCCAGTCATAAATACAGGGTAAAAACACTATAAATAAATAGAGCAGCTCACTTTCCTTTAGAGAATGAACACATAAATAATATACATTTTGAAACAAAAAATCATAGTGCAAAAATAAATTATCAAACGGAAGTTGTGAACATTATTTTACACAATGCTATATAAAACCTGAACCATTTGGAATAAAAGACTTTGCAGTTCACTGAAATAATGCATTAACGTTATTATTTCTGCTTCACATTAAACTGCACAGTTTATCCTTTATCCACTAAAAAAATAAAAATAAAATAAATTAAAAAACCTCTTAAGCTTTTTAAAAGGTTTATGGCAAACAAGATCACTTTTTGTTCTATCACATTTGTTATTAATTTAGCAGTGCAGTGATTGAATAATCATCTCAGAGTTCCAAATGGAAACTATTGAAGTATCCATAAACATCCCTTGCTCTTTTTAACTCATTTTCTTTGAAATTCAGGCTTGAAACATCCTGACACTCAAATCTGTAAGACATTATTGCAGTTAGATGCAGTTACAAGAGACAGTCTACAGTCAAGTACTGTGGGAGACTTCACAGCTCTCCTCCTCACCATCACCGTGATCTTGTACGAGACATGAATGTAAGGACACGTCTGATGCCATTCAAGCGGTCTTTGAGGGATTTCATGGCAAGGAAAGGAAGCTGAGCTCTGTTCTCAAGTGGAAGGACAGCTAGGACCCACCAGCACCAGGCTGGCCCATTAGGGTTAGCCTGCAGTAAGGAGAAAAAAAAAATAGAAGTTAGGACATATATAGATGGTAAGGTCTTGTTTTTGAAGATTTAGCTTTGAAAACACAGTATTTTGATAGCAATCTAGCAAGCAGGTCATTTCATTGCCAACCTAATGGCTTGTGATTACAGGTTGGCTCGAAACAAATTACAACCAGTTGCACCTTTCCTAGAAATAGGATGTTGAAGGCAGAAGCAAGATGCATTTCTATTTCTAGCAACAGTTTATAGGTTGGGCCTTCTAGATTTTTTTAATGTATTTTGTTCCCATGTTATTATTGATCCAGTTCTTTGGGATTCCTGCCTCCCTTCTTCATACTTTATGACACCTTCATATTTAGTTTCTGTTGTTATATTTGGTTATTTTATGATTGCTACTAGTTGCAGTCCTTGAACAAGAGTACCAAGTTTCCTCTTGTCTGTGTTCTCTCAGTCATTTAATTGGGGGAGTAGACAAAAAAGCATTTAAGTCTCCTGGGATTAATACAGTCAGTTAAGTAGTCTCAAGAAGTTACTAATATTAAATAACGAGCTTTTTGTTCGCAACTGCGCTACCACTGGTATATGGCAACATAACTCCGATACTTAGCTTATGCAGGATAGATGAAGAGTATTCATATTTTCATCTTAAAACACAATGCCTCCCAGCTTATCGGATATCCCTGCTATTTCTGTCTCTAAAAGTTACATAAGCCACTGACTCTGGATACCTGTGGGTCAGGATCCTTAGCTGGCATTGGACCAAAATGACTGAGAATTCTACTTTTGAGGGCTTGCTTGAGGGAGTTAAACCACATATATGCCTGATCATAGACAGAATCATGGAGAACAAGTAATGCAGCATACTCTTGTCCTTGCACCTGAAATGAGTAAAGAGAGGAGAAAGGTTACTGTTAGTTCAGCCTGCATGTTGGGGAAAGCACGACATTGATTTTTAAGATTTTCTGGGGTGGGTAGGGGAAAGGAAAGGAAAGAAAAGCATGCCAAGAGAGTTCTGGGATAAATCCTGGAAAGCTAGTTTGGTGTCTCCCATGCCTGGCCCCCCCCCCCCCCCCCCCCCGCACTTTCTGGATTGCTATATGAAAACACCTTTACATAAACATCATACAACACAGAAGAAAAGATTATGCAATGCTTTTTTTTTTTTTAATTAGCAGCCCCCCAGAGTAGACATTTTATCTTCCCATTGTCTACCAAAAGCTCATACATCATCCAGAATACTTTGACTGACTACATGGGTTTTTTTTTTAGTAAGAATTAACGTAAATAATTTTGAAGGTGTAGTGGACCCAATCCTGCTCCTTCTTACCTGAATGGGAGTTTTCGAATTGGCTTCCATGCAAATGGAGGCAGGTTCTCCCCCACCCCCTTGTAAACTGCAGTTATTCTGTCAAAGAGTGGTAAGATCTCATCCTGGATTCACTTAGTTTTGTCTTCTGCTAAAAACCTCTAGGAAAAACACTCTTCAGTGTATGGGCAGTGTACGTGCATGCTTGTGGTAACTATTTTGTTTCCCATCTTTAACCATGAGCAGTTAGTAAATACCACAAGTTTTACTAGAAACTGTTCCACAGAAAGAAGAACTCACTGAAAACGTATGCTTAGCATTTCGCATATAATACAGTTTAAAAAGAAATATTTCTAAATTTACCTTTTGATCCTCAATGTACTCAATATCCGCTGTATTATAGCCATCACGCTGGCTGTGCCGTATCACCTTAAACCTCCTCTTGCCGATGCTGTCTACAACAGAGCGACCATCAGCAAAGAATTCAACATTTCTTATCTCCAGAATGCAGCCATAATCTGCAAACCTATTGAAATCAGAACAAAAGCAAGTAAACAAGTCTTATTCTCTCCACCCTTAGTTCCACAGAACTGCCATACAGCCAGTCCCTACCACAAAGGTATTTACCAGTGTCAGCTCATTTCTATTGTTCACAGTAGCGACCTGCTGTAGTTCAAATTACTCCACAATTGTTTTCAAAACTATCAGGAAGATTCAGGCTGTCTAATCTGATTAACACTAACTGCATGTTTTGGAATACAGGGAACATCTTATGAAATTGGAAGTTACACAGCTCAGAAGCACACTTTCTCCATAATCCTAGCATGTTCAGTCAATTTGTACAGAAGAACAAGTGCAATTCAGAATATTAAGAGTTATGGAAGTACTATGAAATCTATAAAGAAAAAAGTTTTCCCACAATTTCAGCAGATTTTACTTTGTAGGTGCGTATTTTGTGCACGTCATACTTTTCATGGTGCATACCTACCCTGTAGGTATACACCATAAAAAGAAGGGAGGAAAGCTAATATAGAGACAAACATTAAGGTCAAAGTACCTAAGACCGACTGTAAATGGCTCAATGTAAATGCTCAGCCAGTCCTTATGAAGGTCCCATTGTACCTCTGCGGCCTCCACTATATTCAGAACAGCGAGGATAGAAATGTATCCCAATAGCTTAGCTATTCTTTTCATAATTTAAAAAAAACTAAACCCACCAACACACCTTACTGCCATTTCAATTTGATTTCTTGTGCAAAAGCATTCAACAGATTTCGAAACAGTAGAAAGTACACTTCCTTTTCACGCATTACAAGAGGTCTGCAGCTCAACTTTGTATAAAATACACTAGCTATGCATGTTTTCAAGAAAAATGGGCAGTCATATTAGTCAGAATCTAAGTGCTCACGAGAGAAACTTCAGCCTTCTCAATGTCTAACCAGCATGATTAGGAGGAAACTTTCTCTGCTGGAAAACTTATCACAGATATTACAGCCATGGACCTTTCTGCACCTCTCCAGAGAGACTTGCTCCAGACTAAGTGGGGTAGATCACACGGTCCGAGCACACTGCTCACTCACCCCTTTACAGGGTCACTGATGCACATCCCAAATTGTTTGGTGCCAGTCTCCATGCACCTTCGAATCATCAGGCGATAACATGGCTCGAAGATGTGCAAAGGGCATGGGACTGTAGGATAAGCCATTGTGCAGACAAATATAGGAACATTCTTATTTAGGCTGTAATAAAGAAAGGACAAACCAGATACGACATTTTACCAAACTACTGACAAAGTATAAAATACATTTTATGCAATAACATATTATTTAAAATTATGATATCTTTAAATAGAAATTATAACATCTTTAGAAAAAAATTCTTAATGGAGTAAGTAAAAACTAAAATTATTTTCCTCATTAATTGACTTTATATTATGGAAAGTGATATACCACTTACTAGAAGAATTTTTAGTTATGCTTTCTGGTTTTGCTAGTGAGAGCATTAATGCATCTCTATTATTGCTTTTATTTACTTTATTTTCCTTAATCCCATTTCTACCCTACCCAGTACATTCCAACCCCCAGCCTGTGAGACTACTTCCACCTATTGTCTCACTCTGTGGCTTTCATGGAGGGCCACAGAAAGCAACCACATTGCTTTATACCTTGTTTATAAAGCAACCTTCTGGATTTCTTCTATTTCTGTTCATTGTTTAGCAGTGTCCAGTTTTTATGCTAACTCAAAGCACAATTTCACCTGGACCCTGTTCTCTTTGAAATCACATGATACCAAGAAAGAAGCTCCTCTGCCAGCATCTCAGCTCGTGTTCTGCAGCAGCAGGAGCCATTCATCAGCTAACGGCAGTAGTATTAAAGATTGGATTTTGCACAAATGGATTACATACTTGGAAAGCTCTGCTATTTCCTCTTCATAAATCTTTCTTCTTTCAGTGAGTTCCTCTGGAAGATATCTAGCTATTAACTCCTCCATTAGTACTGTTTTACAGTATTTCCTCATAGCCAAGCACTGCAGTAAAAACACACACAAGCAGTTATAGGTAATGTCTAGCATTTCAAAGTGTATGGTGCCTATGCACAAGGTAGTCATCTGTTAGCTCCACTTTCTTATATCTGTAGCAAAAAATGATCTTTTAACCTTGCACTGCCACTGAAGAGATGTTTATCGAACTATTCCCTATGTTATGGGCATTATCTTAGACAATCTGTAGGTGATTTCCCTTCCCAGATTCTCCAAGTACAGGTCTGGCCCTAAGGTTTGAACAGAGAAGACTATCCATGCTTTCTAAGTCACAAGGGCATTTAAAAAAAAACCAACACATTTTTCTTAAGTTATGTAATATTTTTTTTGAGTTGGGAAATATCAATGGTTTCTGAAGGTGCTCCTTGATCCTATGCTGTGCCCTTGAATTTATGCTGAGAAAATCCAAGCATCATTACCTCTGAGAGCCCTTCCTTACACAGGGGACATTTTGGGTTGTGATCCAGGCATCTCTCAAGACATTTGAGACAGAAGGTGTGTCCACAAGGTGTAGTGACAGGTTCATAGAAGAGCCTGGATTGGAAAAATCCAAAAACAAAGAGACAACAATATCATGTACCAAAGTAAAACGAAAAACTATTACCAAAAAAGCTGTATTCATTCCCTAATTTAACTACTGACTACTCCAGGGATAAAGTTGTTCCTTGCTTTTAATTTCTTCAACCAACTTTCGTATTTATTCAGCTTACAGACTTTTGTATTGCCACCTAATGTGAAAGGCAGCCCTGATTTCAGTGAATGTGAGGGAGAATATTGACTTCCAACAAGCCAGGATTTAATTTTCTTCTATGTGAGCAATAAATAGAAGCATAAGTTGGACCATCTAACTTTTTCTAATGAAATTGAGCAATACTTGCACAACTATTACTGTGGAAGTCATGCGATTACTTGTATGTGTAAAGCTAAGCACAAAATAGCTATTTGCAGTAATAGCCCACATAAGTGATTGCAATAAACTGTATTACTGCCAATTCTAATGTGGACTTGGAAAGCAGTTTTGGAGTAGACAGTTTTTAACCTTCAAATGACTGCTTTTCTGGAAAATAAGTGACATCAGATTCATGTTTCGTCTAGAAAAAAAGTATTAAATATATAAGGCCAAGTCTTCAAAGTATCATGGTATCCAATCTTTACCCATTTCAAGTAACTCTGTGACGCTTATTTTCATGTAGCGATTTTTTACTTCATTATTATGATTATGTGATATTGCAAAGCGATGTTTCCTTGCCAATAAGTACCTTAAAGACATAAATAATATAGAAGGGTTTTTTTAAATGGAAAACATTCAAAACTAGACATTAAGTTGTTTGGCATATACTGTATTTTACAACGTACTGTCTAAGCATTTTAGGGTCTCAAATATTAGTCCAATTATAATTTAAGTGAATTAATAAGTTTACTTTAAATTATTAGTTTATCAAAGCAGTACACTAAATCCTATTATACATGTGTAAATTATAAATACGTAAACCCACATTTATTAGCACCTTTAACAAGATGAGTGTATTTAAGAACCTAATTGGCTCTTAGCAAGATTGCCATAGCCAGTTTATTAAATGTCATTAGTTACTATAAATATTGACATTTAAGCAAGGGAACATATGAAGTATCTAAAATACCACACCTATCTTACTGCAACGTGACTGTATAATTTAAAACCCTTGTTAATTGTTTAGTGAACAGAAACCTCACTGCACTAAGGCTACCTTATTGCTTTGAACTATGTAAAATACTGAAACATTGTAGAATTTAGTAAGAACTGGTTTGCATATGTAATTATTTAGTAGCGACTTACTTCATCTGAAATATTAGCATAAAGACAAGAAATTCCTGTTAAAATGCATGATTCTGCTCTAGCTCTCGCTGAAGCCAGCAGCAACTTTTTCCTAACAACTCTAAGGAGACCTGGACCAGCCTCATGACTTGCAGAAAGAAACACTATACACCAAGATTGCTCATGACATCACTTTAAGCTATTATAACAGCAGAAACTAAATATTCACTCCTGTGAGTAATGCTCCTTCATTTCTCACCAGTATGTTGCTTTGACTATTATTTTTTATGTTCTGCTTGCTGCTGGAACAAATGTAGATCAATAACATTTTGGCCACTCCATCGGACAAATAGGTTAATAACAGCTCCTGCAGTTAATTGTGAACAGGTCAGTAGGTTACTAGGTAATTAGTAGTATCTCAAGATCCAAATCCCTAAAATACTTCTGAAGAACGTGACAGGAAATAATTACGATCAGTCTGCATTAATAGCAAGAAAAAGATCTTGTGACAGCTTCCCTTAGCACAGGCCTTCATTGCTGCAGTGATGTTACAAAGCTAGCATCCTTCTAGATGCAAGGCCTGTATTTGTGATTGCAATTACAAGATCAGCATCAACATCCTCTATACTGTAAGGGAGCCAGCAATCCTTGAGCTAACTCTTTTACAAATGTATTGTAGTCTGGCTGTTTCTGATTTAACATAGAGGATGAGGAAGTAGGGCTAATTAATTTTATTAAAAACATCTGAAAAGTGTTTTGTGGACATAATGATCATAAACACACAGACTCATTAAAACCAGCTAAGACCAATTGTGTAGCTTTCTGGTAAGAGGGAAGTTTTGCTCTTAGCAGTATCAAGTGTTTTGACAGCTGTATAAACTTTTGGAACATGTTTCAGCTGTAGGCAGACAGAGGGAGAGGGGGCAGATCTGATTTATTCCAAGCAGAAGCAAATCAAACAACACAGCAGCTGTTCCTCCAAAGGTTTCAGTTTGAAGTTGAAGCCCCCCCCAATATACAAACAATAAAACAAAGCAAATCCACATTTCTCCAGGCACAGGCCTTCAGAAATAAATCCATGAAGAGGCTGCTATTTCAGAATTTAAAATATAGTGCAAGACTAAACCCAACATACATTATTGAGAAATCTGAGTAATTAAAAAGACAAACCTAAGCAACACTCACTGCAGAGGTCAAGACCCCTGTGAAACACCTTCCCAATATTTCCTTCTAGAAAGTCAGTAACAAAACCCCACGTGTGTATTTGCCGAAATTTGTGAAACATCTTCCCAATATTTCCTTCTAAAAAGTCAGTAACAAAACCCCACGTGTATATTTGCCGAAATTAAAATGTTTTTACAAAACAAGTAGTAAAATAGATGTAGTTGACAACTCTTACTGTTTTTATCAAGTCACTGCTGTCCCTAAGAATAACTGTTATTTAACTGGAAGAAGAGATCATCAAGCAAGTGTAGTGATGGCCTTAATAAACTAAGGAACACATCTCTAAAGCAATAGAGGAAAAACATGTTCTTGTTTACTTGCAAAATCCTCCTACTGCAATAGCAGCAATACAGTATTTTACACGCAAACTTGGAATATTCATAGGATGTGCTCTCTTTAGCTATTTTGTGCATTATATAACATCATACACAGCTCTACAAATTCCAAAGGACAAACTGTGGTTTTGTGTACTATGTGTGTCAGGGGGTGAGCGTGTGCAAGTGGTGAGAGGAAATCTTTCAGACACCTTCACTAAAATGCTTAACCCTCACGTGACCTTACATGTCCTTTCCCAAACAATCACTAGCCTACAGCAGATCAAAGAGTTCTTATTCATCAATGGCATTCAGAACCAAAGGTCTAGAAATGCATCGTTGGAGTAACGAATTACAATAAAAGCTAATTTCAAGTCAGAGGGAAAAAATAAGTACCAAGAAAGCTAGAAAATCTCTAGGTCATAAAAGGTAAAGATGTGTCTTAAAAGTTAAAGACATCCACAAGAAAACAATGGATACCTCATACACAGGGAGCAGTCCAAATCTGATGGATCCACAAATTCAAATGGAATATGTTGTCCAGTACTATTTCCCTTAGTATCAACTGTATCTATCAATAAAAAACATATTATAATGTGAACAGAACTATGTAAACACAGCAGTATTCTGTATCTACAAGCAGCATCCAATATTTAAATGTGTAATGTATTTACTTGCAAGTTACTGAACCATTAGCCATCGTTACAATAATTTCTATGCAAAGCATCAAATTCAGCTTTGGCACAAATCAGCATACCTCCTCTTAATTTTGGTGACATTATACCCACTTACAGAGGGTTGAATTTAGCCTTGCATTAACAATTAATGTCAAAACATTTTTTATTAGTGTTGGAAGTCTAAAGTGGGACAAATTCTTCTGTCATACCATTGTAAATACATCCCACAGCATGAAAACAAGGCCAGATATCATGAACAAACGGAATTTGTGCTTTTAAACAAACTTTTTTTAATTGATCCAGAAAGTGCTAAGGCCATGCATGACACTGATGTTCCTTAAAAGATTCAGATTTCTGCTGATAAACAAGTACTTGATCCAACCTTCTTAGCCCCCTTTTTAGACTAACTTTTTTTTTTTAAACACAGCAAATAAAGATTCCACATCATGCCCCGATTAGGCTAAAAAGAAAATATAAAAGCCAAAGTGTAATTTGGACCCTCTTCCTCTAAGTTTTATAAAAGCAAAATTTCCACTGATTGCATGCCATGGAACTTACCCTGTGCGTAATTCAACGTACCTTTCTTCATCAGTTTGCAGGGTACCTCAGCATTTCGCATCTCCTCTGAGCAGCACTTCCTTTTCAGGAGGCTGCACTTCTCAGAAATGAGGAAGGCAGACTCTGGCATGGAGGTGAGTTTGTTCTCCTCCTCTGAGCAGTCCTTTTTGCTCTCTGTAATTTGTATAGATTTCCTCAAACTACCAGAAGTAGTTACATTTGGTTCCTCTTGAATGGGAAAACCCTTTTTCTGTTCCACATTTACCTGTGTGAAGAGAGGATCGACATTAGACCAATCTTCCAACAACTTGGTAAGTAAAAAAACCCCAAACCTGTCACAAGTCTTTAATATTATGGATCACCAGGAAGGACTTTGTAGGTCAACAAGCAACAGTTTGAGAATTGCTGTGTCAGGGCCTGATTTTAATGAAAAAAAAATATATGTGAACTATTTCTGCCCCCACCTCACCACCACCACCCCCGCCCTGGCACTAAATATTTTCACAGCCCTTATGTGTGGCTTTATAGCTTGGTCATGAAACTTGATTCAGGCAGAAATGTGGCTAGATCTCAGGTTAAATATAATGTTATCACTTAACCTATGGAAAAATGCATATTGTTTATATCATAATGATGGTTGATACCATCAAACAACCAAAACAATGCGAGCCTGGCACTAATATTTTCAGCCCTTATGTGTGGCTTTATAGCTTGGTCATGAAACTTGATTCAGGCAGAAATGTGGCTAGATCTCAGGTTAAATATAATGTTATCACTTAACCTATGGAAAAATGCATATTGTTTATATCATAATGATGGTTGATACCATCAAACAACCAAAACAATGCGAGTTTATTTTAAGGAAGCAGTATAAACATACAAAATTTATAACAGAGAAAATGCACAGAGCTTCCTTCAGCAAGACAGATTTCTTTTGCAAAGGATAAAATGATCGTTCTTTATCCCATTATGGCTCCAGAACAACCTGTGAGCAGCCATTACACAGGACATCACCTATCAGCTTGTCACATCAACTCCCCAGATGAACCTGAAAGCAAATACTGTGGATTGTGATCAGGAGCTGTAGTGATGTGTAACATGCAGAAAGATGAGTGAACTGTCCCTCAGATGACTTAATGAAAGGGTCATACAAAAGGGTTTCTTTTCAGAATATCCTAATGGCCTTTCCAGAAGGCGATGTCACCAATTGTTCTTCTCAGTCTCAACAGGGCTGCTCAAAACCTACTATTTTTGTTTGTAAGGAACTAGTGAAGTTTTCTCCTACGTATACAGTATATGTAAAACCTGTCCTCAAAGTTCAGGTTTCAGTGAAGCAAAATTGGTCCTTACAAACCCATGAATGTGAACCTCTACAGCCATTTACAAAACTGTGGCTGTCAAACCAAACTTAAGGAGTAGCTAATATATCTTATGTGTCTCTACAATAACCCCTAAGGAGTGTACAGAATCTGAATGCAGGATGGTTTTGTCACTGACATCATCAGTTACAGTTCAAGCTGAAACCCTCAATTTCAGCATTTCATAGCTTTTGAGGGTATCTCAATCCAATCTCCAGAGACCTTTTCCCACTACCGACTACTTGGAAGAGCTAAAGACAGTTACAGATATAGTACCTGCTCAATTCTGGCATAAAATTTATCAGAACAACAACAGACGACTTCTATTAAAGAAAAAGAAGTCGGATAAAGAGGCTTCAGTAAGTCAGCATTGTTTCGTATGTTCTGAAACTCAGTAAAATCTGAGAAAATGTATCCTCCTATCTCCCAGAGGTGAAAAGGAGAGAAGGTTTCCCCAACGTGAACATAAAACACACAACAAATTAAGAACCACACATCAGACTTGATCTTTACCTTGAGCAACCTTTGTAGGTTATGGCTGGTGCCTCCAGATCCCACTGAATTTAGGAGATTCCCCTTTAATCTAGAGTGATGTGACAACAGCTGCAGGATATCGGGTAAGTGTTCCTGAGCATTTCCCGGGATGAGTGAAAACAAACTAAGTAGAAGCTGTGATATAAAACACAATACTTCACTGCTTAGTTCCTTCCTTGCAACCTTCTAAATGAAAAAGCAAGTAAGGGAATAGCTGAAAGAAGCATCCTTGATTCTGTTAAAGCCATTTAAAGAGCCCTTTAGACTAGGGTAAGAACAAAAAGAAGTGCAAGAGCTAATGCAATATAGGCCAAACAGACAGCAAGAGACATTTTCAGAGTTAAATAAGCCCATAAAGTTATTAACCGTTCTCTGTGATGTGACACACGTGCCTTTGGCCTCTCATCCTGCACTTCAGAGCTCACCAGAAATACTAACATCTTTCTTAAATATTTTTTTTTTGCTGCACATCAGAAGCTTTTGCTGGAGTTCACTAGTACAGAAAGCACTCATCTCACAGGCTTAATCCAAGTTCAGTGAAGTAAATGTCTCTGATATTGTATTTTTAATTCACTTATGTGAGAATACAAAAAAAGTAGGCAGTAGCAAAATGCTATTTCTTCATTTGCTACCAGAAAATAAGTGAATCTGTATCAAGTAGCAGCTTGTAGCCACTTGTACGGCATAGCTTATCAGATGATTATTTAAGGAAACAAATAGAGCTGAATGGAAGATTCACACTTCAAAAACTGATTTCAACATACTACTGAGGTGATCCTGCTGATGCCTGAGGAAGCCACATGACAGCTAAGATTTCTTTTTAAAGCCAAAAAGGATTCCACAGGATCACACTATATCAAAACTAACATGGACAGACAGTTAATACAAGCAGAACATCACAGCTGCACCCGAAGAATTTGGTAAAATGTAGTATGTCATTGTTATGCAAACAGCCTTGGAAATGACCCAGTAGAATATTGCATCATGGATGAACTCTGTCTGATGAGTGCACAAGTAATTCTATCAGCCATAAGAAGCCTAGTTTTTCTCAGAACCCCACTGCTCAGAAATCAGGTGTCTTGGATAAGGCTATCTGGAGTCTGAATTTAGAAACATATCCGTTTGTTCCTGCTCTTCTTGCTCTAGTGCACAGGAAGCCTCCCAGCATGACTATGAAAAGAAATCATGACACAATGACAGTGAAAGACTGCATGGAACCCAGTGAGGAAAACAACCAGCCAACACGCCCAAATATCAGTGACAAAAAAACCACTGGAGATGGAAATCTCAACCATATACGAAATGAGATAAAAATTTGATTGCACTACAGCCAACCAGGTTATACTCTCAGTTACCTTCATGAACAGTGCTTTACTGTAAGAATTCTACTGTGCTTCTAGAAAGCCTTACATATTACAGCACACTAACCCAAAAGTTCCCATCCCACCAGTAATGGAAAAAAGCGTGAATGCACTGCCATAAAAGGAAATTGAGTACAAGGAAAAAAGAACTATACATTTTTATTACCATAAGCTATCACTGCGACGCTGAGCCTTTTAGCTACGACAACAAAAAAAACAGTCAAATGTAAAAACACTGATTCACAGGAAACCAGAGATTTGAGGGGTGTGCAAAACAGAGCAGTCTTCGCAAAAACCATTTAAGAATCCACACACCACATCTTGGGCTGCTACTGAAAAAAGCCTCACTGCAGATCCATTTTGTTGCTTAATTAGCATTAATTATTAGCAACCTTTAATAAAACTATTTTAAAACAGCTCTTCTTCTGTTGACTGCTTCCTTTCACGCCTCTTTCACACACTGATACTCGGCGCAGCACGACTGGCAGTAGGAAGAGAGCTGCTGCTCCCAAGTGGAGTCTGACAGGTGCTGCGTGTTGTATCAGGCCACTGACTGGCAGAACGCAACTTTCAATAGCAACTCCCCCCCTTCTGCACTCTGTCACTGGTAATACGTTGCCAAGCTAGGAAACAGATTAGAAATTTGACTATAGGGACACACAATAGTTTGTGGGTGGCAATTATTAACAATTCAGTTTTACTTCAAATTTGCTGACGCTAACACCATGAGCAACTGTTTCCATACAGTGCCTGCCGAGTATGTTTTCTTGCTACCTCCCTATCTTCAAGTAAGCAATACACATAACTCAAGTTTGAACGTCAGTCTGGATATATCTCTCCGTCCAGCTCTTTGCAGTAATGAGAGAGGGGAAAGAGAAGAAAAATTCTTATCCTCCTTTATGAAAGGCCACTGAAAACAATAATGCAGTTCCAGATGATTTGGGGAACTCACCTTTTGTGCCTCAGACTTGGCCGTCTTGTTCCCAGTATCTAGAGCAAGGCAGAATAGAAACTCTCTTAAAGCTTCTTCTGTTTTCCCCAGATTAGCTAATGCTTGTCCTTTTCTTAGGTGACCCTGCAATGAAACACATCCATAGTTGCAGCTTTTGTTCCTTTGTCATGAGAACATGCAATAAAACCAAGATGAAATTACAAAAGATCTTTCTGGAGAAGAAAAAGTTAGGCAGGGAGACTCACTATAACCATCTCTTGTACCTAGACACCACCAGTGTCTGGGTTTTTAACCACAACGGTCCTGAAAACTCTTACAGGCAGAACTGGGATATTCTCTAACTCAAGCGAGTAGGATTCTTACAGCACCTGAGCCCAACTGATCTTGGAGAAATCTACTTCCCCTACATTAATCTCCTAAAATAGTCATTACGTCCTTATAGAATGATATAAGCACAGCATTCAATTTTTAGAGGGAGTTCATGACCTTGTGATTCATCCAGGTCAAAGACAATAGCATTAGCTCATCCTCCAGGATTATCATTCTCTTCCTTCACCTCAGGAAGCTCAAGAATATCACGGTTAAATGTCTGTAAGTCCCAGGAGTCCAAGAAGTTACAGGACTTAAAGCCTCTCTCCGATTCAGCTGTCTGACCACTCCAACGGTTTTCTATCCAGGGCAGTATCAAGGTTTTAAAACAAAGAACAACTGGAGTCAGAACTTACTTTCAACCAGTATGGCTGGAGTCTGCATGCTGTTTCTGCATCATGCAACGCATCTTCACATGCTTTCAAAGTAGAGTTAATCTGGGACCGGTTGCTGTATAATAAGTGGTCATTTGGAGCTGCAGGTAATAGAAAAATTGGTTAATTGAAGTAAATTAAAAACTAGTTACATAAGCTTTATTTATTTTTTTTTAAAACCAAACACATGTTGGTGCTTCCAAGTGGTACAAAACCATAAAATACCCAGTTTTTAAATAACTAGGTACTAAATGAAATCTGGAAACCTCTTTGGGCAACTCCAGACAAAATGTCAGCTATGTATTATATAACTGTGGGGAACATTGCATAAATAAATGCTGAGACGCTCACACAATAAATTACCAGCTCTGACTGAGGATCAGATGGTTGATAGAAACACACAGGAGACATTTAAAGTGGCAAGAGGAATGCTGTCATACTGTAGGGAGGAGTTTCAAAATCTTTTAGCATCGAAGTTTTTAAACGATACACGAGGATCTTTTCGTGCCATAGCTCAACGCAGGAAAACAAGCGACAACTACAAGAATCAGATAACGCTACAGCAGTGCAGCTGAAGTGATCTCCTAGTTACACACGCTGCCTGTTGTAGCGCCGAGACATAACGTGTACTGGACTTAAGGCTGTACGCTTTCGTTTGGAACGCTCTGTCGCTTAAACGAAACTCTTACCCGTAGTACCTTGCCCCTAATTTCCACTCACTGCGTGCAGTGCTAGGTGCTTTTCCTCAAACTAGATGAAAACGGCCGCATCAAAAGTTTTCCCTGC